GACAGGTCGCACGTCGTTCCTTTGACGCCGACGTGACTCACCCGTGCAGATCACATCAGGACACGGTCTCGACGCGCTCGGTACGACGCCTGCGACCCGTCTCGGGTCAGGTGGCACGACGCTCATCGCGCCTACCAGCGCTGCCGTGCAGGTTGCCACGACGAGGTCGAGCACGCTTCTATACGCTCGCCGAGCCTTCCTTTCCATCCCATTTGGCAGGCTGGGAACGGTGGCGGTCAGAGGCAAAGCATACGAGGGGTGGTGGAACCACATGTCACGGCTACTGCCGGCTCGACCCCACGATAGCCTCCGGAGGCTGACTTTGAGGCACAATCATCGGACGACGTCGGCGAGTTGAGTCGCGCTCGCGGTAGCCAGATGACCTCTCATACTAGTATCATCGGCCATGGCCGCAGGAAGCGCGGGGGAGGGCGCTGGGAGCAACACGGAGCTCCGTTGGACGTTTTCAAGATTAGCGTGTCAGAGTGAAATGGAACTAGCCGTGTGGCCGCACGCGGCGGCGCGGCACCGTCCGGCCAACCCGTCGCGAGGAAGCCCTGGGGCGCCTGCGGCTTAAACGGCTTAAAACGGGCCTAGGCCCATTTTAAGGCTGCCTGGGCCGCCGAATCCTTAAACGGTCTTAAACGCTTAAACGGTGCGGGAGAGAGCTCCCGAGGTCGATGGTCCGGGAGGCTCCCGGTACGCGGTAGACGCCGTAGGCCGGGAAGCTGGCTACAGTCAGCTAGCACGCGTCCCCTATGCGAGTATGGCTCCTGCCAGTGCACCAGACTTACAGATGTGTCTTCAGAGGCGGGTTTGTGCGCCCAATAACGGCAGTATTGGACAATTGGAGAAAACGGCGCGGAACCCAGCGACGCATGCCGGTGAGGCCGATTTTCTTAAATGGTCTTAAAAGAGGGACCACCCCCCGTGCCTGCAATCTCTTAAATGGCAAGTTAAGCCCCCAAACCTCCTCGTTTCTTAAAGGTCTTAAAAAAATCCAAGAGAGTAGTAAGATCTAAGAAGGCGGGAGAATCCAAAAAAGCCGCCCAAAAAGCCACAAAAAGCCAGCGAGCCTCCCGTTACGCGATTGCTCGCGAAGCGCAGCATGATGCGTGGCCAGCGTGGGAGCAGGCCGGCGCCGACGCTGCCAGAAAATCCGGCCCTCAGAACCCTAGGGTCCCCTAAGAGAGCAACCGTTACGCCTTTGAGGCTTGATCTCTCACCCACCCAGCACCAGTGTCTCACACGGACGACCACTCACGGGCGCCGCGCGCAATGGGCGCCGGCTTCGAGCGCAGCCGCGGCTGGCGGGCTAAAATAGACTTTGCATTAGACAAGACTGTATTCGACGAGCACGCGATGCCGCTTGAAGCCGCTCGAGCCAAAGCAGAGGTCAAAGCGTCCAAGCGTCCCGACCTCCTTGGCTTCTCCAAGCCCTCCTGGAACTCCTCCACACTGCCAGAAAACTTTGTTCCGTTTCCAGAGCGACCGATGATGCACCAATTGTCCAAGTATCACTCGCTCAAACGGTTCGACTACGACCACCGTGCTGAAGTGCTGGAGGCAAGTGATGGCAACTCCGACTCCCAATATATTGGCCGGGGAAGCAAACTGCAGTACACGGAGCGGCACATCGCACGCTCAGCGCCGGCGTTGAGCATTTTACGATCGGCCCCACTTCATCCAGCGCTGAGGGATAAGGCGCGGTGGAACGTGACGACCGGGGGCGAACCACATGAGGCGGCCAAAGCGCACAGGCTGCGGGCGGAGATGCAGCTCCGTTCCGCGGCACGCAACTCGAGGAGGCACGGGGTTCCTCCCGGTCGCGTGGGAGCTATGGAGCGCTCCGTTGCACTCATTGATCAAGAGCGAGCCCGCAAGAAGGCGACACGACTCTTTGGAAACACAGCCCGTCCCCGATCACGGCCGCCGCTCTCGGAATCTGAT